TTTATATGTAAAGGAACACTTTTGACATCATCAGAAGTAATTCCTTGAGGTGTTACTGATCATTTTTACAGATCCAAATTAGTAGACAATGCATATTTCTGTGAAAAAAAAACTTGAAAGTAAATAGCATGAATGAAGAAAAATGCAAAGTTATTAATGGGTTTGAACTTGATAATTAATCTCTAAGTAAAAGCTAGAAATTGATCACCATTTTTTTTTTTTTTTTTTTTTTTTTTTTTTTTTTTTGAGGGTGTGGTTTTGATGCAGAGGAAGAATTTCGGAGGCGTTGTGTGAGTTCCGTTTCTCCTCTAAGCCACCATCTGTAGAAGGCTAAATGATGAGCTCTACAAGAGAATGGTAAATGGCGAGCTAATGGTTTACAGTAGACAACCAAGATGTCTTGACTCCTTTACTGAAGAGTAATGTTGGAGTGCGGCTGCTCCTCAGAGCGAGGTCTTGTTCCCATGCTCAATACAGGGAATCTGTCTGTCATCTCCTACAGTGGTCTAAAAGTACAGTCAGACTACCCATAGATTTCACTGAAATCCAGCGACTTTCTGTGGGCTGGAACCAACCCACCCATCCGTGGTGTTCACACTGGAAAAAGAACCATCGTATTCACCCATTGGAATCGCGGCATCAAAAGAATTCGTGACCACTGAGATGCACAATGGAGCAAGCATTGTTCTCTCTAACTCTTGCTACTATTTCATGTTTCCGGACTTAGAGAGAATATAAGAAGACCAAGAGAAGCAAGAAAAGACTCTGGATGAAGCCATGGCTACAGCAAAAGGACCAGAGTGTGTTTCAAAAGTTAATTCAAGAAACCAGAGTGGGTGATGATGGTGTGTTCTACGATTTTCATAGAATGGACAGGCTACATTTTGATACAGTATTGAACTTGGTATTACCCATCATTCAAAAGGAAAACACCTAGTTAAAGAAGACGGTTTCTGCAGCTGAACTGCTCTCTATGACCTTACGTTATTTGGCCACAGGTAAGACAAAACTTGGTTTCCATTTAGTTTTATGGCGCCACCCGATTCCTGCAACCCCCACTTTACCCTCTAGCCACGGGCTAATGCCTTCTGGACACCCAGTACATGAAGTATCATATTTTGCCTACACAAAGTAATGGGTTTCGCCTCCAGGACTCCTGCAATTTAACCAGATTGATACAGTGTATACTAGCAGTACAGTGGGGGCAGGCAGAGATGAAAGCAGCCATTATCTTGTTTATGTGCAAACCCCACAGTAAATTGTATTCACAAATAGTTCTTATTATTTTAATACTTAAAACCATATGTTATAGTACCTACACAGTTATTAACAATCAATATTTCAATGATTTCCTTCATGTTTCTTACAGTATTATATAGGGTAAGTCATGAATTGCATGAAATGTACTTAACGAGTCCATCTGCCTGAAATTTGTGAAAATTATATTTACACAATTAAATTCCATATTGGTGGAGAGTGGAAAACAAGACTGTAGGATTCAGAAAATTACTATGAATGATGTTTATTTTTACTTTAATTTTTAATGAATATGCATTCTAAATATTTCACTTAGCAGTACTAATAGTAAGAAATTTTTTCCTTCTTTTTCCAGGAGAATCTCGTCGCTCGCTTGCATTTCAGTATAGGATAAGCCATAGTCTGATCACAGACATCATACCAGAAGTTTGTAGTGCAATTTACTCCGTGTTAAAAGATGCTCATCTGAAACTTCCATCAACATAAAATGGAAGCAAGTAGCGAGTGACTAATAGTAACTGGAATTTTCCTATGTGTATTGGGGCCATGGATGGAAAACGATTTCTTTTAAGGAAGCCACAGAATACAGGATATGAGTTCTATGATTATAAAGGACACCATAGCATGATAATGTTAGCACTTGTCGATGCTCTTTACAGATTCCTGTATGTTGATGTCTGAGCTCAGGGGCGAGCAAGTGATGCAGGTGTGTGGGAACTATGTAAATTACGAGAATATTTAGAAAAGGAAATGCTGCAAGTTCCACCACCTGATACATTACCATTTGCATATAATAAAGTTCCATATGTAATTGTTGGTGATGATGCCTTTCCCCTTAAAAGGTATCTAATGAAACCCTATCCCGGCCAGAACTTGAGTACAGAGCAAAGAATGTACAACTACAGTGTCACGAGCACGCCGTGTGTCAGAGAATACCTTTAGTATTCTTGTTTCTAAATTTCGGATTTTTCAACAGCCAATTCATTCAAGCCCAACAAACACCCAGAAAATTATTTTAGCAGCAGTGGTTCTCCATAATTTTTTGAGACCTAATACTAGGCAGCCAATGCAACAGGAGCTTGGCAATAGTAGTAATGGTTTACAGAGCTCAGGAATTCAGAGGCTTGCACATGTAGGAAGAAGACTTGCCAATGATGTCTTGGAGATAAGCAATACTTTTAAAGACTAATTCAGTGGCAGAGGTAGAGTCTCTAGGCAGGACGATGCTGCCCTCTTGCATTAAACCATCTTATGATGTGATATTTCAGTTTTGTAGTTCCCTCTTATAATCATAATGTTTATAAATTATATGGTGCACATTTAAATGTGTACATAAATATATCATTGATGTTTATATTTAATACTGTTCATTTCTGGAAATAAATTGAAATAAATAAATTGGTTTCTGATTCAATCCATTACCAAGTAACCAAGAAATATGTTTTTCAAATAACAATCAAATGATGTTACTGACTACAAATACAAAAGATGAGAATGAAAATGTTTAAAGTTACCAGCATGTAAGAATACAGTGTCACAGTTTATATGTATAACTTAAATAATTAACTCAGCTTAGGTTTATAGCAGTAAATTGAACTAATAACTTTCTCATTAAATGTGGTAGTTCTTAATAAATATATGGCCTTATACAAAAAAAAAATTATATATATATATTTTTTTATTATAGAAAATAATATCTCCATATAAAATATATAACATTGGTATCCTTATAACTTAAACTTGCATTAATATCCTTATACCCTAAACTTACATTAATATTCTTATAACCTAAACTTACTGAATAAACTACATAAAAATATATAACTGTTAATGTGAAAAAAAAAACATACATAATCTACTGACATAGTGAATATACTTGGGACTACATACTGATCACTAGATAAGAAATCACAGTAATAAATTCATGACTATACACAAACCATAACTAAATGACAGCTATACAAATTGTTAGACTCTTACATCAATACCATCTATGACATATTTTGACTATTAGTATTCCACAGAGAACTCCAACTTCAAGTCCTCATCAGAGGCAAGGTGATTCATCAGTGACATCACAGTCTCAGTCTCCATGTCAAAGCCTTGACTGTTCAGCCCATGTATTTTCCATTTTTCAATAGCCTTTGCCATCATTTCATCAAGAGGATCACTGCTCATTTTCCTCTTTCTCCTTTTTTTCACAGGAGGGTTTCCTGCATAACTGGTAGAAGGAATAGGTGTTATCATAATATCTCCAGTTATATCAGGCTCAGGGGAAGGAGTTGTTTCGGATGAAGTCGAGACTGGTGAAATTGTTATATCACAATCATTAGCAAGATCCTCGATTCTTCCCCTGTATACCACCACTTCCTGACGTTGTGTATTCTGAAAATAAATAAAAATCACTTAAATTTTTGTATTCCCAAATGTTAGAATAATTCAAACTTAAATACTCCACTTCTGTGGAGTTTGAGCCCCAGAGCCACTCAGAGTAATTTTGATTTTACGATTTCCTGATACTGACCCCAGAGATACTGGAACTTGTTCATAACATCACTTGCAAATGATTTAGGTATTAATTTAAAAACACCAAATGACTTTTGAAGTGTAGATGACACATTCATTAATAACTAGTACTTTGAGAATAATATCCAGACTAAAGCCTAGCCTAGGCAATTCTGAATCTAATTATTGTGAACATGTATTTTCTAGGGGGACCTCCAAAAAACGGATGAAATATATAAATGAAAGAATGTATACCAATATTATGAGTCAATTGCCATAATGAAGGTTGTAATTTTGAGAATCAAAGACTAAGCAAAGAGGAATAAAAATTCTTTCCTAACAACCACAAACTCACAGTTAAAAATTAAAAGCTAGTGTTTGACCTTTGCATATAATTAATGGTTATTCAGAAAATTTGTTTTATAGCATATCCTTGATTACGTTATGCCCTAATATATTTCTGGGTGAGTTTATGAATCATTACAATGTAATTTTTGGTGAAACATATGTATAAGGGAAAATAAAAATACATGAAAAAAGATGAACTTTCTTCAGGGAAGGAAATGTAGTCTAAAATAATTCAATTCCCTGATAAATATTTAATTGTTATTTTTGATGATCATATATATTACTGAATTGAGAAGAATCATGCCAGCTGCCTTTGAATTTTGCTCATTTTGCCAAATTTCTCTATTTGTTTGATAGGTAGCATTCACAGCTTATACATGTATCACACAAACTTTGAAAACCCTCACAAAAGCAAATTATAACAATCCTAAATGAATTACAAAATATACAAGAATTATATAAAACCAATGGCAATAATAACATCAAATTATTATATTACCTGTAGTCAGTCCAAGCTGTGGATACCCCGACATCAGTTCTGAAGATATTTTGTCAAACAGGGTCCGTTTCAAGTTCTTTTTGTGGTAAAATGGATGTTTGATATTCCAAAGCATTTCTTCCTTTCGAATATTTTCAAGGAGGGAGAAAATTGCTTCAAAATTTCACATTTTGAGTGTTCACGGGATCTGCGATTTCAACTTGAAGATGGCGCTTACGCATTTGTTTATACTCGTCAGTCAAATGAGAATCCATGGTCAATACTTTTGTTTTTACTTTTTATTCGTACTTATATTCAAATGTAAATAATGATGTAAAACTAAATATGAATAACTCAATAATTTGAAATACATAATAATATTTACACTATGAAATGAAAAGAAATGTATACCATGCGTACTACAGATTCTCAACGTGTGCAATTTTCCCATTCGTCCAACGATGGACGAGTGGGTTTCCATCGCATCGAACGTGTGGGCGAATGTCCAGTGAAGAGAGTCCATGCGTGGGCAAATTCCATTCCATATCGCTGGATTTCACGAATCTATGGGTAGTCTGACCATACCTTAAGGGTCGCTACAAGCTACGTATTTAGCACGTGATAACCGGTGATTAACAAGCAATATATAGCTCTTCCGGAAGGGAATAGACAACACAACACTAGGGTGTCTTGTGCGGCAAGGAGAAAGGAATAAGCAGAGAATGTGATGATCAAATGTATAAGTATAGTATGTGTGAAACATGTGTGACAAACGTGTAAGATTATATAAATATGTAGTAATATGATATAAATGTGGCGGTGTCACACACACACATGTGAGTGTGTGTGTGTAACAGCCGAACGAGGATAAATGAATACAAGGCAAAAAAATGTAAAAGGAAAAGGATATTCGATCATGGTGAATACATATTGTCGCCTAAACAGGCCTTCCTGGGAACCCCGCCGCATGTCGCTTTATCTCGTGGGAGAAAGCCACCTGGAGCTTCTTTTGCAGAAGCGACTCAAGTGTCGTGGTCTCGGCTGCAGGGACCTCAAGCAGCAGTTGCTCCCGCGGCCCCCGAGGAATCAGCAGCAAAATGGAACTCCGTGTTCTTTGGGCGCTTGTTCTTTGGGCGCTTTTACATCTCGGTATTGGTTTCATAAATGTTTATATGCCCTGAGTTTATAGATTATAGATTCACTGCACTGTAAGTGTATGATCACTTATTGTGCTTTAGCATATATGTTTCTCTTTCCGTGTATGTAAGTTAGTGGTGTGTAAATGAGCTTCTTGA